CCTGACACTGAGCAGCATGATGTGAAATAGAAAGGGAGCAGTTTGTCACCTTCTAGCGCTGTAAGGAAGTTCTTGTGCTGAAAAGTTGTCACGAGTTTGCTCATCTGAGAAGAGAAAGCGCACTGTAGTTACTGGGATCACAGCCACCTTAGAGGGAAGCGGTCTGAGCAAAGGGACAAAATGCAAGATTCAGCATAGAGCTTTTCGATGGTTCCCATTGGCCTGTGACATCGAAGCCGCTCTGGGTCTGTAGGGGGTGCAGCGTTTTCTACTGGGATCCCCACCAAAGCAGAATTTCCCATTGCAGTGCAGAGCGTAAAACAACACTGGGGTAAAGACAGACCGGACTCACAGTGCTCCGAATGTGAAATAACACCAGTGAGGTCAATGGCATTACACCCGTGGGAGTGGGTGGAGAATCAGGCCCCCAGTTTCAGAAGTTTAGCTCCCTAAGGCTAGAGCATTTGAAAAGTGGCTACTGATTTTGCATGTCTCAGTTTTTGGGTACCCAATCTGAGATCCTGGGGGCCAAACTTTCAGAGGGGCTGTTCCCCCACAACTCCTGTCAGAGTTAATGGAAGCCTGTGGGTACTTGGCGCCTCGGAAAAACCAGCCCTAGGTATCACAAGCTGGGTTCCCAAAGTTTGAGGCATCCTGAAATTAGTGTACTCATTTGAAAGTGTTGGACTAAACAGTTACCAGAAGCCCTTGTTGGCTTTGCTGTTCAGATCCTTTGTAGTAGGGCTTGGGGCCCAATTCACTCTTAGAGGCGCTATTGATACAAATGTAGGACTCTATCCAACGGCAATGGAGATGCTTCGCTGAGCACTGGATCATCCCCTTAGTTAGGTAGCGACGCATGCACACTGAATCTGCGCCATGTGAAACCAATGCAACAGGGCCATGAGAACAGCTTTGCTATTGAACACGGCTCACTCCAAAAAGACACGTCTCTGAGTCAGCCCTGGAAGTTTTGATATCAAATTCACCTTGTTTTGAAGCAAAATGACTTGATTCTGAGTGTCAATGTGTGTTTGCGGTACCAGGGGGAGGAGGGAGGAAGTAGATGTTCCATCTGCTTAATTATTTTACTGTTGACTGAGTTTAGAAAAATCCTACGTGCTGTTCCTTAGCGTGAGCAGCGCTTTGCTTGTTGAGAGAGCCGACTGCTGTTTTCAGTAACTAGTTCTAAGATTGCTGTTTCTTAGAGCTGCTATCTAGAGAAACCACATACAGCAGTTGCCTCGTTGAAGCAGGTGTGCTTGCATGTTAGCATCTTTCTACTTCTTCCAGGGGTGTTGCTCTATGGGCCTTCTGTGATAACAGAAGAGAATTGCAGAACATCTGACCGTGCCTTGGTGGGTTTACTCTGGAAGTGTGGGGAGCTGGAGAATGTTGTGTGCACTTCATGCTGACTTGCTACCTCATGTCTTAACATTTTGAATCCCGTCTGTTATCATCAGGGAATATACACAAGAGTTGCGGGGGGAGAGGGGGAGAAACAATTTACACTCTGTCTGAAAGGCTGCAACATAACACGACTTTATTTCTTAGAATCCAGAAATCTAACACACACACCAAATGGAGCGAGAGACAAAGCAGGCTGCTCCCTGAGGCAGAGAAGCACAATTCATCCTACTTTAGGCTGGGTCACTGCATACTGACTGCTGAAGACCCAGATGGCACACTTTCCTCTGAGCCCCCTAACCTGCCAGCAAGACCAGAAAGCCTCTTGGAACCTAAAGTAATCGCTTGTAATTTCAATGCCATGTTCAGTACCCTAGCCCCAGGGGAGTAGGGAGTTATCCTGGTTGTTCTGAGCTTCTGCAGAATCTCAGCTTTCACATAAAAGGAAGAGTAGGTTTCTAGCCTTTATGGTTGTGAGTGTAACCAGTGTTGTATTGATCAGGGGTTGTGAGCATCTCTCTGGCCAGGGGGTTGCATTGTGTATGTCTGCCTAGAGTGTGGGGGTGTGAGGATGGGTGAGAGTGCCTCCATTTATCCAGGGTGTGAAATGGGTATAGGTGTGTCTCTCCATCCAGAGCGGTGGTGTGTTCATCCCGGGGTTTGAGAGCGTGTATGTAAAAAGACCAAGATTCCCTTTTCTCTCTTTAAGTGAATGAAAATGGGTGAAGTCAGAGCGCGCCCCGGAGAAGATCTCCCTCTCAAGAATAAACCTGGATCAGTTCTTTTTTTGCTGGGAGTTTCTGCAAGATACCCTAGAGAACAGCCCATTGATCTCCCCTGCCGAGCTGTAGGTCCAGCAGCTCCTTCCTCAGCTATGCACACTGCTACTTAGGCCAAAACGTACAGTGGCACAGCTAGGTCGGTTAGAAGTGTGAAAGATACCTCACCTCCTAGCTACGAGCTGGCAAAACCCGCCGGCTAGAGCAGCTATGCTGACAGCTGTGCAGCCAGAAGCCCTCTGGCAACGTCGGTCAGGAAGGTGGTGTCCCTATGCCATCAGAAAAACTCCTGTCAGCGTAGCTGTCTGTACCGGGGCTCTGCCGGCATCACTCTACTGCCATCGGCTCTGTGGTGTGGACACGGCCTTAATTGCCTTCTTCTTTTACTAAGTCTCTTTGTCTCTTCCATTTTTCTCTCCTCTCTGACTCTCTCCCACTTTTTAGACTCCGAGAGGCCGCTGAAGTGATGCACCACGCAGTAATACTGAGCACAGTGTTCAGACTATGCCTCGTCCCTTGCATTTGCATACACAGTGCGCTGCAAGCGAAGCGATCTTCTGCCTTCCTTGCAGCTGGCTCTGGTTCCTCACCTGCCCCATTTCTTACTATAAAGCTTAAAAGCAGGGCATGCTTCTCTTCTTCCATAGCTCAGCGGCGTGAGCTGGCTCACCTCAGCCAACAGTGCCCCCTGCAGAGCCGTGGTGAAGGGTGCGTTTTGAAAGAGCTGGTGATGCCGGAATCTGCTGCTCAGCTGAACTCTGTCACCAGATTAATGGTGTCTCAAGCAGACGGGTGTGGAGGGGACAGTGCCTATTCATTGTGTGATGTCACAGTACAGCAATGCCGAGGGGGACACTGCTTTCCTCTCCCCCTCCGGCTCTGCACTGCTGGTGTTTCTCGAACAGAGGCCCCTGCCCTCACAAGCTTTGTCACTTTGCAGATCACATTGGAGTGGATCTGACGTCGGGAAACGTCTAACAGCCCTGGCCCAAATCCTGAGGTTCTTACGGAAGCAAACGTCAACGAGAGGGAACAACCCCTGTGAATCTGGCCTTGTAACTAGAGGGTCACACACTCCATAGCTTCTGTGGGCTGAGCTCGGTGCAGCCCTCCATTCCCCCCGCAAGCTCCCTGTGGGCCACCACCAAGTGCCTCTGCTTCAGGGGTTCCCTGCAGCTCTGTGTGCCCCCATTTATTTTCTTCTCCCCCATACCAGAGCCACCCTGCCAGGGGTTCAGTGTGCTCTCCATTCTTCCCACCCCCAGGACAGGAGCTGTGTGTGCACCCTCATTCCCCTCACCAGTACTACTTGTCTTCAGTCTGTCTGGGAGGTCAGTGATTCAGGCTGTCACCATGGGGCAGCGCTGCGTTATGCTGGCAGGGCCATCAGCCAGCTCTTAGGGCTCTAGACAACTGCAGAGTGCTTAAAGCTGTGGCTTTGCTAATCAGTGGCAAGAGCTCCCTGTGCCTCTCCTTCCCCCCCTTCTCATTTTCCAGTTTCTCCCCAGATTAAAAGGGTTCCGCTTAGCGATGCCTAGAACATCCCCTGCGGCTTTGGAAGTGATCGGATGAGGTGTTCACAGACGTGCAGAAAATGCCGGGAAATGCTGTTGCACTGTGTGTAAAGCCTTGCACGTTTGGCCAGCTGTTATCCATAGCTGGGTGGTGTTTTGCACAGCAGGATGTGAAACATTGACTGTATTAATGCATTAGGGGCTGATTGTGCCATTCTGATGCCCGATTGCTGGTCTGCATGAAATTAGCCTATGAGGTCGGTCCAGTTCACTGTGGGCAGCACAGAACCCTCCTGCACAATGTCCTTGTTGGCGTCGCTACTGAAAGCACCAAGGAGTCAATGGGAGACTAGTCTGTCATCCCTACAAGTGGTCCCTTCGGCGCCAGGTTGAGCCGTATTGGCTCTGTCCTGTGGGGAAGTCTGCACAGCCAGGGCCTGTACAGGAACTCGTTCTGTCACGAAGCAAAGGGCTTCCCTCTCTCAGGCTATTCACTTTTCTGCAGCATGAAATGCTCACTTTAAAAAGTTGTCTAAGGAGTTCTAAAAACACCCAGATTGTAAGGCCCTGATTCAGCAGATTCACTACTTAGAACATCAGTTCTTTGGGACAGGAACTGTCATTGTGTTCTGTGTTTGCACAGCACCTGATGCAGGGGGACCTGGCCCACGATGGGGCTCCTAGGTACTGCGGTATTGTTAATAATAATAATAATAATTAATAAAACACTCAAGCACATGCTTAACTTTAAGCACAAAAGTAGTCCCAGGAACATAAAGATATGAATGTGCTTAATTGCTTTGCTGGGTTGGTAATACAATATGGGGCATAACAGTCTTCAAGTAAGTAAAAGGTTGTTACAAGGAGGAGGGTGATAAATTTTTCTCCTTAACCACTGAGGATAGGACAAGAAGCAATGGGCTTAAACTGCAGCAAGGGAGATTTAGGTTGGACATTAGGAAAAACTTCCTATCTGTCAGGGTGGTTAAGCACTGGAACAAATTACCTAGGGAGGTTGTGGACTCTCTGTTATTGGAGGATTTTTAGAACGGGTTAGTTAGACAAACACCTGTCAGGGATGGTCTCTAAGACTTAGTCCTGCCTCAGTGCAGGGGACTGGACTAGATCCCGACTAGTCCTATGTTTATTTCTATTATTTCTACCGCAGGGTTATTCACTGACATCGTTCAGTATTTCAGAGCTGCAGTGTCCTTTTTTCTATGGTTCCTGGAGCCTCTCTGTGAGCTGCTAGAACAGGCTGTCTGCTCACCGAGAGCCTCCCTGTGCTATTTCCCCCCAGGAGAGGTGGCTGCGGTGCAGGACACAGCTTTTGATCTGAGGAAGCCGGTAGAGCTTGGAAGACACATGCAGAAGTTTCAGCTCCCTGGCTTTGACCATAACTTCTGCTTGGAACAGTCGGCGGCTCGACGCTACTGTGCAAGGTGGGAACTCGATGCATCAGCTGTGTAAAGCAGTGGTGGCTCCCTGGCTTCAGGTCTTTCTGGTTTGCACCAGTTGTGCTTGCAGCACAGAGGGCATTGACTGGGGACTCTGAAGGAAGGTCCCAATTTTCTGTCCCTTCCATCTACAGCCCTCCCATTACCAGAGTATTTGAGCCTCCCAGTCTTTAATGTATTTCCCCTCACAAGAGGCCTGTGAGGCAGGGCCGTGCTGCCGACCCCGTGCTGCAGATGGGGAACTGAGGCACAGAGAGATTGAGTTATTAAGGTCACAGTGGGAGCCTTGGGCAGGGAGTTGAACCTCTCTCCTGAGTACCGGGCCAGCACCCTGACCACTGAACCATCCTTCTCCCCTCTCCTTGCCCTCCTGGCTCCTGTTTTTCCTGGCTCCTTGCCACTCACCCTGTCTGGCTCTCACTTCCCTGGTCAATGCAATGCATGGCCCTTTCCCTCCCCCACCCCGTCTTGCTGCTCCCATCCCCTCCACTCCTGTCCCATAGGCCATCCACTGCCATCAGCCTCCTGTCAGCGGCCCACCGCTTTGTCTTCTTGGCCTCCTCATTGCCTGGGCATTTAGACTGCGCTAACTGCCAGGGAGGCTAAGTGCCCTACAAAATTGCATGAGCTGCAGGCTGATCTTCTGGCTCCTCTAGCAGGCTTCTCATTAATGTCACTCTTCCTGTGGGGAAGCTGGGACAAAGAGGGGAGTCTTGCACTGTGTCCCGAAGTGCTGGTCAGTTCTTCTCAGCCTATCCTCTTTCCTTGCTCTCCAGGTTTCGCTCCTTCCCCCGCTTGCTTTCTGTCCTTGCTCCCTGGGTACAAACCTGCCTCTCTTTATACAGAGCACATCATCCCCCTAGTGGCAGGACGATGGAGGTTTATACCACTCAGCCTGGGATCCAGTTCTACACTGGAAATTTCCTGGACGGCTCGCTGGAGGGCAAAGGGGGCTCTGTGTATCCCAAGCATTCAGCCTTCTGTCTTGAAACACAGAACTGGCCGGATGCAGTTAATAAGGTAACTATTGCTGTCCTGGAAATCCGTACCAGCGCTGGGGGCGGGGAAGGGCTCCTCTGAGCTAATGGAAGTTACACACATGCTCATGGAGCCGCAATGGCTCCTTAGGCCTGGTCTACACAGCTTTGTACCAGTAGATCGATGTTGGTTAGGGTGTGTGCCTCCTAATGTAGATGCAGTAACTCCAGGGTCATGACAAAACGCCACTAGGAGCACCACAAATAACCTCCGCTTCCTGGATCTCAGTTTGGACTCAGGTTTCCAGGAATGTATTAACCAAATGCACCACCAGCCCCCCCCATGTAACAGCCCTATCAAATGCCAGAAGCTGGGTGTGTAAGGAGGTAGCTGAATGCTTTTCCTGTAGGAGGAGGAGATATTGTCACTTGCTGAATGATTGTATCTTAGCAACCAGGGGGTCGCACACTTGGTTCCTTTTGTCAGGTGGGCTCATTGCACCCACCAGGGGCTCCCTGCAGCCCCCCCCTCCCCCCCCCCCCCAAGCTCTCTGTGAACCACCTCCCATCCCCCTCCATTTCAGGGACTCCCTGCGGTCCCTTCCCTTGTGCCAGGTGTCCTGAACTGTGTCTTAGCAATGAACGGTTCCTACAGTACTCAGGCCTGACATCGCTTCGCCCATGCCCTGCTCCCGTTCGCAGGTGTGAGAGCCTGTGAAGACACACGTGGCATCCTGCAGCCAAACTGTGAACCACAACGTACAGCTCACTTCACAACGTTCCCCTCCCGTGGGAGAGCTGTGCCTGGAACAGAACAGCTGTTTTAAATGCACAAAACGACGCCGATGCTGAGGCTTAAAACGAATGTTAAACTAAGCTGTTTGAAGTAGCCTATTTGGTCCTAGCATTTCCATTGCAGGAGCAGCATTAAATGTGTCCTTAGTTAGCTAACAATAAGCAGTATCAGGTTAAACCACCTCACCTTAGAAGGCTACTGTGACAGCTAAAAGGAGCATGAGGATTTTAGATCTTTTTACCAAAGCTAAAAATGGCTCTTGCTGAGCAGTGATAGCACTCGGCACCAAGCTGTGAGACTGTCCGATCCAAGATACTGTGTTTTTCTTTCCACAGCCCCATTTCCCCAGTGCACTGCTGCGGCCAGGAGAGGAGTACAACCACACAACTTGGCTCAAGTTTACTGCAGCTTGAGGAGTCACCTCTGCAGCCACAAGGAGAAATTCATCACAAAGTGCTCTGCGTAGTGGGAGGGGAGCAGGGGAAATCACTTAAAATAGCAGCCGGAGCTTCCAAACTTCTCCAGCACAGGCAGAGGTGACAGGTGCCAGGACGTCTCCTAAGGACGGCGTTTGTAAAAGCTCTCGACACTGGCTTGACGGCTCCCATTGGAATCACTGGTAAAGCTCCCCTTGATGTCAACAGAGGGAGAGTTAGGCCAGCGCTGAGGCCCTGATCCCCAAAGGGACTTATGCACCTAACTGCTGTTGATTTCAATAGGAATTAGGCACCTAAATACCTTTAAAACCTGGCCCTTAGTGGCTACAAAACTTGTCTTCCTCATCCATCAATTGGACCATGTCAAGGCCTCTTTTAAACTCCTCTCCCCTTTCTCCTTCCCCATGGAATCCCTGTCTTCCTTCAGGGCCATGCAATCTCCACTCGGGATGAGCTTGTCTTTGAGTCATTCCCACTTGCCCTGTCATGTTTCTCTCTTCCCACTCCCCCACCAGTGCTTTTTTCTGCACCAAACCTTCTGCCATTCAAGTGCTAACTAAAACCTCACTTCTGAGACCCCAGAAGTGAACCAAAAATAAATCTACCCACTATTCCTTCCTCTGGGCTGCCCCATGCAGCCCAGCTTCTCTGTATCTGTCTTTTAGGCCTGGTCTACACTAGAAAGTGTTACCTGTGCCTCGGTTAGGGGGTGTGATGTTTTACCAGTACAGTTATACCAGGAAAGGCACTAGTGTGGATGCAGGTAAACCGAATAACACAGATATACTTATTGCCCTCTCATCTAGGTATAAAACAGTCCAACTTACTAGTGTAGAGAAGCCCCCAGAGAAAGAAACACCTTTGTACGGGTAGCTCATACTCGTACAAGTAGGGACTAAAGCCAGGGGGTCTGTGGCCTCCATCCTCAAAGGCATTCAGCTACCTCACTCCCATGGGGAGTTACCTTTGAGGATCTGGGCCTATGTGCAGGACTAAGGCCAGGTCTCCACAACAAGCATTAGCCAGTGTAGCTAGGTTGGATGGGGTGTGAGGTGATTGACTCAGCTGTGTTGGCAGAACCCCCCCTCTAGTTCTACCAGCTGAGCTGCGCTTTGGCTGGTATAGCTCATTTTGCAAGAGGGGGATGGAGTAAGTTATACCAGCAACAGTGCAGTCTTGCCAGCATAAGGTGCACGCACCCCACTAGGCATGTAAAGTACACTGGCTAAGTGTTCCTTGTGCAAATACGGCCTAAGGACCATTCACAAGACTAAGGATCTGCAGGAGCAGTAATTTGCAAGATCAGCTTGACCTTGTGTTGCTTAAATAATAAAAATGGACGTCATCTCAACCCAAGTCCTGGGCTCCGCTGGCAGAAAATTTCTGAGAAGATTTAAATCTGCTCAACTTCATCATTTGAATAGTTAATCTTCCATCTGGTGCTAGTAGCTGATGCAGGACTTTTGCCTACCTAACTGTATAAAGATCTTGCTTATTACTCACTTTCACTGTATTGCTTTTACTTCCTCAATAAAAATGAATTTTCAAGATGACTTGTAGACAAAGAAGGCCCAGTTCCCAAGCTGAAGCCAAGGAGTGGGACGGGGGTATGCGTGCACATAACCTTTCTGGAGCTGATTGTGCTGGCCAGTCCCCTACCCTCAGAGCGCCTCTGGCTACCAATGGCCATCAAGGAACTGTCAGAGCAACTGGGACTCACTGAGGTACAAAGATGCTCCAGCTATGCCTCTAGCACCAGCCCTGGAATGCAGAGGTGACACGCAAGGATCTGCTGATATTGTGGAGATCCTCCCCACTCCAGATCTACCAGTTTGGTGCTGGAGGGAGCAGAGCAAAACCACCCAAATGCAGCCCAGGATCTGACCCAGAGACTACATGATCCATGCAATCTGATCACTGATAATTCTACTGGCACTGTATTCATTTTTTCCCCTTAGATTCACACATTAAGGCCAGAAGGGCTCATTGTGATCATATAGTCTGACCTCCTGTATAACACAGGACTTTCCTTAATTAATTCCTACTTCAAATCCACTAGCTATGGTTGAACTAGGAAAAGATCAAATCTTGATTTAAAAATTTCCAGTGATGGAGAAGCCACCAGATCCTTGGTAGGCTGTTCCAATGGTTAATTACCTTCATTCTTAAAAATGTGAGCCTTATTTCTAGTCTGAATTTGTCTGGCTTCAGCTTCTAGCCCTTGGCTCGTTAGACCTTTGCTAAACTGAAGAGCCCTTTATTAAGTTTCTGTTCCCTACACAGGTCCTTACAGATTGTGATCAAATTGCCCATTAATCTTCTCTTCAGTAAGCTAAACAGATTGAGCATCTTGAGTCGTTCACTATAAGGCATGTTTTTTAATCATTCTCACAGCTCTTCTCTGCTCCCTCTCCAATTTTTGAATATTCTTGAATTGTGGAGACTGGACCTGGACTCAGTCTTCCTGTAGTAGTTACATCAGTGCCAAACACAGTGATAATATAACCTCCCTAAGTCCATAGTTCCCTTTATACATCCAAGGGTCACAGCCCTTTTGGCAACAGTATCATGCTGGGACCTCATGTTCAGCTGATTATCCACTGTGACCCCAAACCTTTGCTTCCTAGGAGACTCCCCCACCTTATAAGCATGGCCTTGGCTCTTTGTTCCTAGATGTATGACTTTAGATTTGGCTATGCTGAAATGCATAGTTTGCTTGTGTCCAGTTTACAAAGCAATCCAGAACGCACTCTATCAATGTCCTCTTCATTATTACTACCAAACCACTCCCCTGTTTTTGTGTCATCTGTCAAATTATCAGTAATGCTTTTTCTTCCAGGTCAGTGATAAAAATAAAGAGCAAAGCACCAAGAACCAATCCCCCCAGGACCCTACTTATTAGCAAGAGAGTTTTCAATCCATTTAATGTGTGCCCTTTTGATTTTGTATCATTCTAACTTAACCACAGTGTTGTACAGTACCGAGTCAACTGTCCTACAAAGTCTAAGTATATTATGTCAACACTATTACCTTTTTCAAGCAGATGGTAGCATGACAGTAATGTAAACTAGCTCACCCAACTCCCTCACACATGGTAAATTCCCACTTAGCCCCTACTTCTAGCTAGAACTGTTGCCTGGTTCTCTCCCACTGAACATTCTCCTCCCAGCTCTAAGCCTGCAGGTTTTCCTGGGCAGCTAGTTTCCTCTTGAACTTGGTCTACATGCACAAGTTGCACTACAAAAAAAAAAAAAAAAAAAAAAAAAAAAAAACCTGTTAAACTAGTGCAGCAAAGCTCTGTGCTGACACGTGTTTCAGTTTAACGGTTTGTCATTCCAGTTTAGGTCAAACCGGTTCCCAACCAGTTAACACCAAACCAGAATCAAGGAGCATCCACACAGGAGTTTGCACAGGTTTAACTAGCTTTAAATTCACACATCTTAAGCTCATGCAACTTTTCATGTACACAAGCCCTTAAACTGCTATGGTGGTTAATAGCAATAACTAGACTGGCATTCCAGCTGCTCACACCACCAGATGCTCTTAAGGTTTTCTACTACTTGCCAGTTTTTGTTTCCAGAAGGGAGGCACTGTATTTCAGCACATCACTGGCCACAGCTCCTTTAGTCTGCGCTGCCCACTCTTTGGGCACTATTGCCCCCTACCAGAGAAGGGGGAACCCTTCCCTTTGGAACAGTCCTGCCCGCATATACCCTGGTTCCTTAAGTACTCCCATGACAGACAGTTAAAACTCTTAAATCCTAAGGAAATGCAGTCCCCGCTGCTCTGTTTTCTATGCTGCTCTGGAGGAGCGGAGAGACAGAAGAGATGTACCAGTACAGTAATTGTAGAGTCTGCATGTTTATTGTGGAGTAGGTTTGTCTTAACAGTACAGAAGAGAAAGAGCTCATTAAATGCAATAGCATCATTCCATGTGGCACTTTTACTAGTTACACTGTAAAACTGCCAGACAATGGACAGTCTATACTGATGAATGTCATCCTAAGCAATGGCTTCTGGGTATATTTGCTGAATTATTCCAGGAGAATCATACAATGTTGTCATTTCCTGCTCCCCATTTTGCAGTCTTGTTTTATGGATATTAGCAGAATATTAATCACAGCATAATTAGTACTGGGAGTGGATGCTTCTGTTGCTAGGCAGCAATGCACTGAACGTATGGAAATCAAACACCAGAAAAATCAAGACTAGACATCAAAGCTAGGAAAGTGGCTAGTACACTTCAGAAATAAAGCTGCCAAGTGTAACATTTTCAGGGTGTGGGGACTACTTAGGGGTTCTAACATCTACCAGACATAAGTGGAGTCTAATGAGAAGTCTGTTATCTGAAAATTATTGGTTATCCAAAATTTGTCTTTTGGTCCAAAAGGTCATTTTGCTATTTTAGGTACTACATTAATAACTTGATGCTTTTACAAGTTGTAAACTTTTAATCTGCCATTAGCCATTTCATTAGGAGCCCAAACAAGTCTGCTCTTTCAAATTCAGTGGATGTTTAGAAAACCCTAACAGTTCTCCTTAAATGTTGAAACTGACATCTAGCTACATTAAATAAAGTAGTCCAGAATAAAAAAAACCCTGGAGATTTGTAATATCTATTAAGAAGGAAGCTGGCAGTCTAACACTATTTTTGCCAATCAGATAAGACGTATGGACAGCCAGGCTCAGTTTCAACACGAAATGCCAGATCCCCATGCAACTCCTGGCTACAGACCAACATGGCTTTAGGGAGTTTCACATAAGATTCATTTTAAGCTCTTCAACCACATATTTGCTGTGTGCACTATAGAGTTTATTTTACCAATATCTAAACAGGTTTTGTCTACCAGCGTACAGGCTGCTTTATGATTGCAACTTGTATTGCAGAACAGTTCTCAGTTTCACTCAGTTTTTCTCAGGTTAGACTAACTGACCATAAATGCGTTGTGTTAGAGAAAGAGCAACATAGCTGCCTTTTCTCTCGGAACATGAACCGTTATTTGAAGGTAACCTGCAGTGCAAATATTGTGCTTGTGCCCTTCTGCTTTGTGATAAGAAAGGCTTTACTTTTTGTAAACAAACTTTAGACATTAGAAATTCATACTCTCTCTACATTGGAAGATCACAATGACTAGAGAGCTCATGTAAATGGTATTACAGGAAGTTATGGCAACTGAGATATCAAGGATTTTTAGTCACGGTTTAAAATTTTGTCATCCATTTAACGTCAATAACAAGTTCACATAACTAGAGACTATTTAAAATAAACTGGGAAGAATCTGATTGGTTTAGGGTAGGCTAATGGTAGCCACCTTTTTTTTTTGTTAAGCAGTAGGGCATCACAAGGAGGTTTTTAGTTAGAAATACACATTTTATTTCAATGAGGCAATAAAAAACGTGTCAATAAAAGAGTCCCACATTTTCAGATCACAGGATGTTAATACATACAACAAAACAAGTTGTGCACTAGTCTACTGATGTGACTTTGCAGAATTTAAATGATCCAGATCCATGTCAATTGTTATCAGATTGAAATACTCTTCTAGAACTAAGCCCTTACCATTTACATCAAAGACACCACAAATCCCTTATAATAATGTAAACAAAATAACGTTCTTCCCAGAAGGTTAACTTTGAAATTTCAGTCCATTCTTACAGGACTTGCACTCCTCCTTCGAGGGCTTCCTGATGGTGAACGACTGAAAGTGAAAAGAAAACCGAAGTCAGTTGGAATAACTTCAATATTCATCTGGAACTGCAGATTCAACACCACTCACCACACCCAGAAAGCCCTTTCCTCCCAGCACTGAGTTTAGTGAGTTAGTTTTTCTTTTAAAACAGATGTTGCAAACATACACTGTTAGACGATAACCTCAAGGATGTAAGAAATCTCAAGTTTGCTATAGAGTCATTAGTCTTTAATTAATAAACAATGCATCTTTAAGATTTGACAGTCTTTTCTAAAGTGTCCAAAAGAATAAGAGGAAGAGAACAGAGTAAGGAGGAAAAGGAAGACTACAAACAAGGTCTCAGTGTGGCATGTTACAAGCTACTCCAGTTCCCATGCACTCCTTCCCTCAGGAGATTTTTACCAAGCTTGGAAGAGTTGTCTCCAAGTGTTCAGAAGAGCATACTTACCCAAGTTAATGGAGAATGGTTATAAATGGCTCAGACTAAAATTGAAAAAACAAGGCTAGTGATTAATTACATAAAAACATACAGAAGTTCTAATAAGAACTGATCTGGGCTACAACAGGAAACTAGAGAATTTCATCGTGCTATTACCATGTAGGAACAGCAGACTGTGCAGCTATTTGTTAAGGTAGAGCCAGCAGCAAGAACGACAGCAGTTTGAGTCCATTGGTGTTTGTTACAAGAAGTCTTTAGTTTGTTTTGTTTCACACATTTAATCTGTTTCCAGCTTTACTCTGAGCCATTTCCATTTCCCACTATCCTTAGTATTATTCAGATTTTTCCTCTGGCTACAAACATCCCTTGAGAAACTGGGTTCAGTCCTTCTGAAAAAGGTTTTAACTGTAAGCCAAAAGTAGCCCATTGCACTTACTACAAAAGAAGTTAGTCTCATTACAGTCACTGGAGTTTTTAAATAGACTGTTTAAAATGGATTCTCCCTGTGATTATTTGCCCAGAAGTTTAATGTGCTTTTGCTTATCCTCTTGCATGGATCTCAGTTCAATGAAACCTTTACAGAGGATGGAAGTCCAACAGAAATAGCCCAAGACAAGCTCTTCATGGCGCACCATGTTCCCACTTTCTTTGGAGCAGTTTACCTCTGGGTGCCTCACTTTAGTAATCAGTGTCATATGCATTAAGGAAGCCCAGTCTCTCCAAAATATTCCTTTTACTGCTTACAGTTAAGTAAAGGAAAAAGTTCCAGTAACTTCAGTGCTGGCAAATGCTGACTTTTCAGTAGTGATGACAGGACACGGTAATATGTGCTACACCCAGCAGTCTTTAGTAGCAAGATTCAACTTACCTTCTCTTTGGAGAGGGGGATCTGGACTTTGATCGGCTGCAAAACAGAAAGAAATACTAAGTGACAACTTAATAAAGTCACATTACATTATAACAAAACAATTTCTCCCATACTTAAAAATAGTGAGAAAATCTCCAGAACCTTAGTCAGCATTTTATATAGGTATCACTGACAACATGTCCAAAATCTTTTACAAGGATTTGTAGGGGCATCAAATTAATCCCCACCATCCCTACTACAGCTGGAGCTAGATATGCCTTTGCAGCAAACCATTTTAGGTGTGTTAAGAACAATATTTAACTGTCACAACAATTCTGTGATATAGGGGTGGAGGAGAGGAACAAGTTTAAGTAAGAGGAATCAGTACTGTGGTGGAAACTAAACAGTTAAAACAAAAAGATGGGGTAGGGAAATCCCCCCTCCCCCATCTCACTAAATATTTATGACCTTTGAAGTAAAAATCCCAACTATTAAAACTTAGCAATAACATCCTTCAAAAACAAGTGAAATACTGGTCCAAGCAAAGGGCTTTGTGAATCATGACGAAGCAATACTGACTTCTAAAAGGTCTAGTGCAGGTTTCAGCATTACATGCTCACCTTTTAGCAGGTGAGCCAGATTTAGATCTACCATGGGACCCAGACCTACAATGGGAGAGAAATAAGGCTCAGCAAGGCACCTGTGGGATGCATGTACAGTGAAGTTACCTAAACCAGTGATAATGAAATTCATACTACATGCCAAGAAAACTGTGGAGGGCTAGTAACTGACAGGCAGAAATCCACCCGTGTGTGTGGCTTTTGCAGTTAAGTTTCAGAAGACAGCTTTTTTTAATTCAGTACCACACATGCTGCAGTCGTCATTCATCAACCTATTCTAGATATTACTTGAGACAGTTCATACGAGTACATTGTCCAATCGAAGCTATGACTAGTATTTTCACAAAAACAATTGAGTGCTGTATTCCAAACTGGCAAGATTCCATTGGGATGGATGTCTTTCACCTAAAAGCCAAGCTGTTTTCAGACAGTACTCTCCTGCAACTTAACCATCATCATTTCAATGTTAACACCTTCACCACTTGAAATCTTCAACCTTGGTTAAGAGTGTCTGCTGAAAGTGTGACCTGTTTTCTAGCTATGGAAAGTTAACTGTTCTGAAAAGACTTCCAAATATGCCAGCTACATTGGAACAAGTTTGAAGTGCACTTCAATGTTACCAATGTTGTCCATGAAAGTAGATGAATTTTCTAGATAGTTTCAAATAATATTTTAGTTTTCCAGTATTCAAGCCTTTCCTCAACTATTTCAGCATTTCATAAGCTTTGATGTTGTCAGGATTGTGATCGCTATGTTTAGGTAAACCTTGAACTATTACATTGAGTTCAGTCAGCAGAACACATCAAGTCATTCAACCACTGCATCCCTTAATGTCCTTTCTGAACCAAGAACTTGGTTTCTTTGAAACAAATACTGCTTTAGCCAAGTGACACTGCTGTACCTCAGTCCTAATATTAATTCTTGTAAGAATCTAGAGCTCTCAATCATCAAAAGTCACTATGCTGGAGAAATTCACAACCTTCCTTCCTTACCAGCTTCATCACACCAAGTGTTGCTCATTTGCTTTTGCATAGAATTTCTTGACACACAAGACAATGAAATTTCAGTCATGTGGCCAATTAGTTTATGAAGATAATGCATGAAGCCTGCTACAGTAAACCATACGCTGAACTTCACCGGGGTTGTCACTTTCAGGTATTTTCAGAAGCAGAAACCTTGAAACGGGGCACCGATATTTATTCTTTACTTAAGCAATCCCCAGTAGTGTCAGCAGTTAGTTTCCGCATTCCATCTCATGTGATGCACATCTTGCAGTGACCGCGGACCACTCCCAGGAGCATGCATCAATACTCATGTAATGAAATATACCAGCATGTTTTCAAGGCAGATATAAGTTGCTCACTCATATTCATTTGTGTTTGAGTCCCCCTAACTATTTCTGCGGTATGGCAACACTTGTGTCATTTTCTTGGCTCAGAAAATCTTTCAACAAAAAGAATTAGCATGAGAGCAGTGCCTCCTTAATATAACCAGCATCCGAAACAAGTTCTCCTAATGTGTGTGATTTTGTGACATTTTAAAACTAGCAGCAGGATGAGAATGTTTACAGCTCTAATGCCAAGCCCTCCCTTTGTTCTTCTGTAAGGAAGCCATGAGAATCATCTGCTTACCATGCACAATGAACAGTATTAATGCTTCACCACTTAACTGCACACTTACAGTGACACAGGTAGGCCATGAATAAGTTTAATGTTAAAATGGGAATTCTAGGTGTAATCCCTTCATCTGAGAACAAAACTGCAGACTCTGAAAAAACAATCCCAGTGCTAAAACTCAGTAGCCAATGGTATGCAGGGTTATCCAAGAGTCTCCCTCGCTGACACGCAAGTTGAGCTTGATTAGTTGTTCTCTGCACATCACTGGCATATGCCAATTAAAGTCTGGGCAGATTCAATGAAGATGAAAAGAATGGCCAAGTGGAGAAGTGAACTTAGAGGAACAAATGTTAAGGCTCACTGTGGCACTTATGAGGTAACAGGCAGAAAGAGCCCACCTTAGCAGCAAGAGAAAGCACACCACACTTCTCCTCCCTCCAGCCTCCCCCACACTAGGCAGGGCTTCTCACCTCACTTCCTCCCGAATCTTACTGCACTCATGTCAGTATTTCTCCTCTCTTATCTGTCACCTCCTCCTTTGGGCCTTCTAGTTAGGATTCACCTCTCCTGCCCCACCACCAAGCAGGGCTCACCCTACTCTTCATCCTCCCCCTCCCCAAGAAAGTTCTCACCCTCTCTCCCACTTGTAACAGGGATCCTGTCTCTTGCCATCACCAGTACTGGGCTCTTCCTCCCCTCTAGGCAGGAGGCTTTCCCACCTACTCCCCCTAGGTGCTGCTTCCCTTTACTTTCTCTAAACACGCCCCACACCCACACCCCACACAGCTGCTGCTAGAAGAAATGGAAGAGATGCAGCGAGGAGAGAGCTCTTCTTTAATTCTGCAGCCTTTCGAGACAGGGAGCAAAACCAACAGATGTAGTCGAGAGCAGAGACTGGAACAGCATCATCCGTAATCCCAAATTTTAGTTCTAACTTTACATAACAGACAGCAGGAGACCTGCTCCACGAAAGCCAGCTTTGTTGTCCATGGCACACCCATGCATGGACTACAGCTTAGATCTACTCATTACAGAAGTATTAATGAGAACTCAGGCATGAAACATTTTACACACAATTCTTTAAATCTGGTTTGAGAAATTTAATTCCATTCTGTACAGAACAATCCTCCACACTATTATGCCACCTTTTAATTTAATTCAGGTACCAGAACTAACAGTTGCTGCCCAGTACCGTTCAGAGATCAGTGTTCAGACAGTCTGAGTCAGCAGTAACCAAGAATTTGGGCACTGGTGAGTCTTTCATGCACTTGTCCTGGTCACGTATCCAGGACACTACAGAATACCAAGAATCTGGCATGGAGAATCCTTGGGAGGGGGATGCTTTAAGTAGCAGCACAAAAGTACGCTTTGACTTCCTGCAGGTTAGAAGCAGGAAGGAATTATGATCTCAAATGGGCAAGGTGCATTTAAGTACTAGGACTTACTTCAGTTTTAGGTGACTTATGTGTTTCTCATACATATTAACTGGCATACATGCATACTAGTCACAACTGGTTTACGTACCGAAGGTTTGCCTATTGTTCACCATCACAGATCTAGACCTAAGGTGTCCTGTAAAACTGCAGGTAAAGTAATAAAATCTATTACAAATAAGACTATGATGTACAATTTTAGAACACTTCATACCCCAAACTTGCTGGAAAAGGAGTTTAGACAGCACCTAGCATTTACTTAGAATTGAAAAAAATTAATGCATTTGCACAAGTTAATTCAGCCTGCAGCTATTAGTTAGTTGCTTTAATCAATTCTGTCAAAGATCTTACCTGCTTCTTGGCCATGTAACGGACCTGGATCTTGATCGTGATCTGGATCTAGATCTAAGTTTGAAAAGAAACTAATAAAAACCAATCCAGCTCCAGGAGAAAGTATTAAGATGATTAAAGTAGCCTGTCAAAGTAGCCTTGTTGCCGATTGGTGCTAAGATAACTTTCAAGATCACAGGACCTACAGGGTGCATAGGACAATCCGAACAGACACCTAGATACAGAGAATAAGGCTATAGCTTTAACCAGGTAGTCCCAAAAGCTCAGTGCTTGCCTACATGGTGGGGTAATGTACTGCACATTAATTTGTCCGTGTAGCCCCTGGTTTTGTTTGAAACAGCACTATGTTAAAGCACACCAGAGAACCTTTAGTGCGCACCAGCAGGGTCTACCCAGACCAATTAACGCACAAACATATTAATGCTCTTTAGAAGTCACACTGCAGTAGTGCACATTTCTGCTCTGTGTAAACAAGCCCTCAGAAAACTCTTTTTACACTATCTACTATCTATTCCACCTCCCACCCTCCTTCCCCTCTGTCAGAGTTGTCTGGCAAGAAGGAACCGAGGATGGGAGGAGCACGCAGCCCCCTTTATGGCGCGATATATCGGCGCCACTCCAGGGCAGTGCTCCCCCACTACGGATACTGCTAAGGGAAAAACTTCCGGTACCAGTGCACGTGGCGAGCACGCACACCTACTGTGGAATAGACAGGAGCAACACATCTCGAAGAACGCCAGTTACGGAACAGGTAACTGTCCTTTCCCCCATAGCTCTTTTAAAGGAATTATAGTTCGGTCTTGAGGGTTGTCAGGCCCTTTTCAAAGAGTCTGCTCTGCAAACACAGAAAGTTACACTTCCCAGAAATATGTTCTGAATCTACCACCTTAATAAAAACATGATCTGGTAATTATTGTGCATAACAACAATTACCTTGATCTTTTTAAAGAACCCGATCGGGACCTGCGGGGTGAGGCTGATCTAGATCTACGAGGAGAGACAGATCTGGATCTGCGAAGGGAAGCTGACCTGGACCTGCAGGGAAAAATTTAAAAATATAATTATGCAATGTTTGACATCTCTTAAAAAAGGGAAGCACAAGACAGCCTGAAACTCACCTCCTACCACGGCTTCGGCTGCGTGACCGAGAATACCTTCTTCCTCTGGACCTTGAATGAGATCTAGACCGTGACCTAATGTTAGGTTAGAAAAAATAAGTATTAGAAAACAACTTTAGCAATTAGCGCACGTGAGCCTCTGCTGAAGTCAAAATTTCAGACAACTAAAAATTAGTGTCTGTCAGTTGGAAAAACTCAGGGCCTATTTGCTTTGAGTATTTTTACTACCTAGAAAAGATGTTAAGCTGAATTACATTTAGAATTACATTATAATATAAAACACTGTAATGTGTATTAAAATAAACCTTGCAAGTTTGCAGGTCGACCCTCTTTGGCCCAAGGTCTAGCAGATCTAGACGATCTAGAAGTATCTATAGCCGATCGCTGCATCTAGGTGTTCTCTTCAATCTAACGACGATCAAACTGACAGCCAAATGAGCCAGGGTGAGGCTTGATTGACGCAAGAAGATTTTTCTAGGTGGGAATGTGGTCAATCTGGTGTTCCTCTTTCTAAACCGGAGGGGGGGGGCCCCAATTGAAAGCCAAATTTACTGTTACGGCGATCACCGTCTCAAATTTTCTGCCCTTTAAAGAATAAGGTGAAGCTAGGTGTAGATGGCTCGAGGGGATCTGGCCTCTTATGCTGATCACCTCAAGGTCTAGGAGGATCTTAATTGTCGGATTTTGCAAGGCGCCTCAGCATGATATCTTAAGGCTCGTGACATTCTGAATCAAGGCGACTGACTCAAACGAAGAAACCTGAAAGGTTTTGACCAGGTTGATTATTAATATATTAACATTTATATGAAATAACAAATTGTAATATATGCCTGTATAATTACAGCATTAAAGTTAAATTAAACTGGCATAACATTCTCTTCTTGGCTAACAACTACAACAGTAACTGGTGAAAAGAACCAATCACTCCTTTCACACACATACCTGCTCCTCCTCCGACGACTATAGCGATGACAGTCATAAGCATAATGACCTTTCTCGCCACATTCGTAACACCGGTCATTGGGATCAAATGGTCGCCGTGCGGGAGGTCTATCATAGCGGGAGCGGCGGGGCATGCCTGTTGACAGCTCAACTCTCACTCGGGAGCCACAAATCACCCTGTAATTTGATATATGCAAAATATCAATTAATAATCTGGTATTTTTCCTTATCTAACGCCTATAAAATAAGAAAGCCAATCTCTAAAGAACCACTAAAATTTGAGAATCCCATTACTGTAAAAGAGCTACATCTTTTAAACCCTGGTCTACAGCTAACACTTAGGTCAACCTAGTTATGTCACTCAGGGGTGTGAAAAATTCTCACCTGAGAGATGTAATTAAGCCTACACAAGCCCTGTTGTAGACGCTAGGGATGTAAAATATTAAACGGTCAAATGGTTAACTGATAAGTATTAGTCTTACCGTTACTATATTGCAGTTAACGTTTAAAACAGATTGCCCTGCTCCCAGGTCCGAGCACACCGTGTGCATTAACAAATCCGGCTCTTCCCTAGCCTCATCCTACTCCCCCCTCAGCGGCAGCGCCCAGGGCAGGACAAGCCGAGCTGCCCTTGCACGGCAATGGCTTGAGAGCCCGGCACAGCGGGGGCCGGGGGCGGTTGGAACGCGTTGTGCTCTTGGGCTATCAACGCCGGCTCCCAAGGCTGGGTGCCTCGCTCCCCACCAGGAGCAAGCACAGCAACCCCAGCCGGGCACATGGCATCCTCCACAGACACGGGCCCCCTGCCTGGGGAGCAGCCCCCACCCCCCGCTGGCCCAGCCCCTCGCGAGACCCCTCACCACCTCGGGAGACTATGCCGAGCCCTGGACACCATCCAGACCCCTACCGTGTGGGCGGCTACTCAGGGCGCCGCTCGCTACTGCCACATGATGCAGGCGCGGCGGGCTGAGGGGCCAGGTGGTGCTGGGCACTAAGTCCGGCGGCTGCCGCTACTAGGGAGGTCTCTCCGCCTCCTGGCCCATGGGGCGACCAGGGAACTGGGCAGCAAGGGGCACGTGACCGGAACTAGCCAAAGTGCCGCAATGCACCGAGGGAGACCAGGCCACGTGACAGGGGAGACTGGTATCGCCATGACACCTCCCAGTCACTTGACAGGTTCTCCCCACCACCATAATACTCCCAGATCACGTGATGGTCTCTCCCTCCCTGCACCTCCCATTGCCATGACAATGCGCAGGAGGGAGTGGTGACGGGGTGCCAACTGGGGATGTAAAATATTAAACCGTTAACCGATATAATTTTAATAGCTTAAACGGGTATTTTTTTAAAATGATATTTACATCCCTAGTAGACACCATGAGGTTTATGGAAGAATTCTACCGTCCGTGTCTCTCGAGGGTTGGATTTACTACAGCGATGGAGATACTCTTTCCATCACTGCTGTAGCAAGTGTCTACACTCCAGTGTGGCGGTGGCAATGCTGCTGTAGCACTTGTAGTGCAGACATACCCTTAGTGAGAAGTTAAGGCCACCAGAAATACAATACATTCGTACTTTCCATCCAAACCTCGAACTGCATCTTCCGCGTCTCGCGGGTCTTCAAACTCCACGAAGGCAAAGCCCGGCGGGTTCCGTGCGATCCACACGGTGCGCAGGGGGCCGTAGTAGCTGAAGGCTCGCTCCAGCTCGCCCTTGCCGGCGCCGGTGCCCAGGTTCCCCACGTACACCTTGGTCTCTGCAAGAGCAAATCACACAATCGTTGAGTGACTGAGTAGCCCCCTCCCCCCGGCCCCGCAGCGTCTCCCCAGTTCAGCAACGCGGCTGGTGTAACATTACAAACTGCTATCATCACAATTCGCTACTGGCAGAAGTTACTGACACCTAGGTGTTCTTTTTTGCTGCCCTGTCACAATTTGCTGTCTCTGCCTTTCCCATACTCCCATCCCAGGTAGCAAATTGTGACAGATGGGGGTAGACCTGTCACAACTTTCTACCTCTCATCTTCCCCGTCCCCGTCAAACTGGGGGGCGCAGAATGTATTCGGGGACAGGGGGGATTGAGAAGCTTTAGGGGGGAAAAAATGACTGCACACATTTTACCCACAGCAATGAACAACTAGCAAAGCTGATTCCTCCAGACATATCAGGTCCTCAGATGGTGCTGTGCATTTTGACGGATTTCTGTTTAGCTTGCACAGCATTATCCAAAGTCGTTGCCATCTGTACATTAATCCGTTTGCTACGATGCGGTGTGCACATTTAATGGAAGGTAGAAGGGATCTCCAGATAGTTGTCTCGAGTGTCCAACCCAGAATGGAATTGCTCTGCTCCAAAAAACAGGTGCACCCAGCACACTAGTAACAACAGTGTGATGCAAGCAAGCGTCTGTCACTTCCAATTTACATGACTGCACTGGATACGTAAATGGCTCTGTTTGAATCAATGCCTTACTGTTTTTATTCTTTAGTGAGAGTTGCATGTTGATTTTTTTTTAGATTGGTATATGTACTTGTGTGTGTGTGTGTGTGGGGGGGTAAATTACTACAGACACAAAGAAGGGGGCATGATCAGGGGTTAGAGCAGTGGCTTTCAACCTTTCCAGACAACTGTACCCCTTTCAGGAGTCTGATTTGTCTTGTGTATCCCCAAGTTTCACCTCACTTAAAAACTATTTGCCTACAAAATCAGACAAAAAATACAAAAGTATCACAGCACACTATTACTGAAATAGTGCTGACTTTCTCATTTTTACCATATAATTATAAAATAAATCAACTGGAATATAAATATTGTACTTACATTTCAGTGTACAGAGCAGTAATAACAAGTCATTGTCTGTATGAAATTTTAGTTAGTGCTTTTTATGTGGCCTGTTGTAAAACTAGGCAAATACCTAGATGAGTTGATGTATCTCCCCCATAATACCTCTGTGTACACCCAGAGGGACGCATACCCCTGGTTGAGAACTACTGGGTTAGAGCACTCAGCTCAGATGTGGGAAACACTATTCAAATCATTTTTCCCGTTCTGCCTGAGGGAGGAATTGAACTTGGGTATACCACATCCAAGGCAAGGGCACTAACCACTAGGCTAGAAGCAATAAGGTAGCTTGTAACCTAATCCAGTAGGCAGCCTCAGAGCACAACTACAGGATAAGGCCCACATGCAAAATAAGCATTGCCTCCCACCATCTTCCCTGGTTTGTGAATTGCTCTGGGGCTTAGGTGGGATATCGGTATCCAGATGCCTAGAGTAAGGCACCAGTGCGCATGCTTAAAGGTAGACACGTAGGCACCTAAGGAACTTTACCCTGAGAATATAGAAACCGAGTGCTTAAAGGGTTTGGCGAGATTTTGGGAATTGCCATGGAACTTAAAATTGGGACAGAGGCATCTAAATCTTTGTGAATCTAGCCCTAAGTGTCTTTATAGAGGAACGAAGAGGACCCAGGAATTACAGGCCAGTCAGCCTAACTTTGATACCTAGAAAGATATTGGAACAAATTATTAAACAGTCAATTGGTTAAAACCTAGAGGATAATAGGGTTATAAGGAATAGCCAGCATGGACCTATCAAGAACAAATCATGCCAAACAAACCTGATTTCCTTCTCTGGCAGGATTACTGTCTAACTGGATGGGGGGAAGCAGTAGACGTGATATATCTTGATTTTAGTAAGGCTTCTGACACAGTCCCACATGACATTCTCATAAGCAAACTACGGAAATATGTTCTAAATGAAACTACTATAAGGTAAGGGCATAACTGGTTAAAGATGATACTCAAAGAATAATTATCAATGGTTCGCTGTCAAATTGGGAGGACATATCTAGTGTGGACCTGCAAAGGTCGATCCGGGGTCCAGTACTATTCAATATTTTCCTTAATTACTTGGATAATGAATTGGAGATTATGCTCATAAAATGTGCTGGTGACACCAAGCTGGGAGGGGTTGCAAGCACTTTGGAGGACAGGAGTAGAATTCAAAATGACCTTGACAAATTGGAGCCAGCAACTGCTGATTAGCCCCACCCACTGCACCTGTGAAAAACACCTGCAGCTTAACTGGTTCATCCTCATAAAAGGAAGAGCAGGAACTGGAGCAGAGGCATTGTAATACCAGCGAGAGGCTAGAACAACTACTCCAAGAAACAAGTAGACAGAAGGCAAACTGTGGGAAATCCTTTTATCACAAAGGCTCTGAGGTAAGAATCAGGAACTTTTGAGCTGATGAACTTATGGGTGTGAGGGATAGACTTGAACTTTAGATCTTGTTTTGTTGAGGAGATTTGAAATAACGGAAAGAAACCACAACTAACCTTGCTAGAAACTACCTCCCTGGGCTCTGAGAAGGTTCCAGGCAGAATTCCCCCAGGGAAGGGGTTAACTGAACAAGTCTATGCCCAACTGGAAGAGGATGCTATAAGACAGTTCCCAAGCCACATTCTATTCATGGATGTTTCTGGCTAGGTGATCAGCTCTGCACATGTGCTAAGAAAAACATCACAATGTTTTAAGTTAGCTGAAAGGATGCAACAAAAATATCATACTGTGTCCTCATACCTTTGTGGGTATCCCAATAATAGACTCATTAGTATTACCATCATAATATAAGAAAGATATTGTTTGTATATGTATGCAGTATTGTTGCAAACTTTCCTGGGATAAGATATGGTTTATAGTGGGGTAGTGAGCAGGTAAAGGCAGAAATTAAAGAGGAATCTTCACAGTTAAAGCACCAAACATGTGAACCAATTGGCTAATTCTAATGGGATAAGAGTCCCACCACTTTAGATGCATTGCTCAGCGATGAGATCACTGTACACCTATGCCACCACTTGCTACATGCACAGCAGGATCTCGCATGATGCTATCAGGCCTTCATTCTCCAGCTCATGAAAGATGTCCTGATCTGCACAGGACAGAAAGGAAGAGCAAGGTCACCTTAAATTTTAACCTTAACATTTCAGTAAGTGGCTTATCAGTCCAAAATTGATACCTGTGAAATAGTGCAAAGGCTTATCTGTAAGTTAAGACAGGTACTCCAGTACTACACTCCTACTCTTTGGATACAAAAAGTGGAATAACCTAGACTAGATCAAATTTAAAAACTGTTCAAAACAAGCCAAGGTCTGATTATTAATAGCGTGTTGGGGAAGGACGCCTGCAATCTTCTTTGGTTGCCCTGACTGCTACTGTCAACACTGGCCGCTTTACTTTTGAATGAAAATGTCCACACGGGGTTTTATGGTGCTGTAACATATGCACATTAATTTCACACCCTCTAGACATTCCCTTAATAAAAGCAGATAAGGAAAATTGAGGGGGACAAAGCCTATTAATTCCTTTAGTTCAAAATGCTTTATCTGGTTTTCCAGGACACCCACAAAAATGGAGAGCTGCAGACATATAGACGCAAGTACCTCTGATGGCAAAGGAGCAGAGCTAGCCACACAATCCGTACAGTGTCTGTCCAGCTATGAATAATGCTTCATTTAACAGGCTAGCCAGAATCAAAGTCTGTGTCCTCACTGTTAAGAAAATGTGGGGTTTTAGATTTGTTTGTTTAAAAACAAACAAACTAACATGGATTAGCTATCCATCTGTAAAAACCTATTGGGAGACAGTGTTCTAATTTAACCGAAAGGCAACCAATACAAAAGAGTAACAGGGTAATTCGTTTTTTAAAAGCCTTCATTTCTGGCAGAAAAGTAAACTTGTCAGAATGAAAAACATCACTGAAATGTAGCATACATAAGGCTATGAAATTAAAATATGCAATCTGAAGTATAAACGATGCAGCAGAAAAAGCAACACTTATGCATGCAACAAATGAAGTAATAAGAGGTCAGTGCATTTCAGCATTTGCAGGATGGGGAATTACTTACAGAAATAAGGATTTTTTTTTAAGTGTTTTCAATAAGGGGAGGGAATCTCACTATTGGATGTCCACAACAGTATTTAATGTTACAGGTATGTACAACTGTTCTAGATACACCTCTACCCCGATATAACACAAATTCGGATATAACATGGTAAAGAAGCGCTCCGGGGGGGCGGGGCTGCGCACTCCAGTGGATCAAAGTAAGTTCGATATAATGCGGTTCAACCTATAACGTGGTAAGATTTTTTTTTTTTTTGGCTTCCAAGGACAGCGTTATATTGGGGTAGAGGTGTATATGAATTCTTTGGATGAGGCAACAGAAAGGTATGAAGCTAGTGTACCCTAATAACTCAAATAAAAAGGCAAATTAAAATAACCCCTATTTTTAATTTCATCACTTTTGTGGGTGTATGACTCATGATGTTTGAATACTTGTTGTCTATCTGGGGGTTGTATACCTATACGTAACTTAAAAAAAAAGTAGAGATTTGCCTTTGAGAATGACTGACTTCATACAGGATAGTAGAGTACTCTGAGGGCCAGGTTTTTGAAAGGTATTTAGGCAACTAGTGGGATTCTCAAAAGCATCTAGGGGCTTTCAACCTTTGCAAATCTGGCCTGTAGTGAATATTGTGGAACCAAGTTCCACACAAGTGTTGATATGAAAAAGCATTAGGGTCCGGGAGAAAGTGACAAAACAGCACCTTGCAAATGCAATCCCCATGGGGGGAGTAAAGGAAAGCGAAGAAGCTGTGACACCAACCCACGAAACCTGTCGGCCTTGATGTCCTATGATCCCCAAGAATAAACGTTGTGCTTTTTTAAAAAAAAAAAAGGTGGGAGGGGGGAATTCCGAGCTAACGGCTCCTGTCAGAACACGAAGCGCTCTGAGAGGGGAGGAGAAATGCTGGTGGCCGTTTCACCAACGAGGATTTGCTCTGACAAGTGTGCCCGAGGGAAGGGAGGCGCTGAGCGCACTGGGTCCCCTTGGGAGGGAGGGAAGGGAAAGGCGGGACATTCCCCGCCGGGGTAGAGCAGAACCCCCCCAGACACGTCGTGTCCCGCTCTGAGGCGCTCTGCGGACAGACGAACCAGGGACCCGCCCCCGGCTCAGGGGGGGGGACGGGACACACACAGACCGTGTCCCGGGTCCGGGCCGCAGGGAGCCCGTGTACGGACCCAGCCCCGGGCCGTGGGGACCCCTCCGCCCTGCTGCCTGGCAGCGCCTCAACCCCCTTAGCGACCCCGACCCCCCCCCCCCGTGCCCTGCCTCCGCCCAGGCCCCGCGCGCCACTGCCCCCTCCCGCAGCCCGGCTGGGCCTGGCCAGGGCCGGCTCGCAGGCGCATGCGCGGTAGCAGCCGGGCGGCGCGTGCCGGTTCGCAGGGCTGGGGCGGCGCCTCTCCCCGGCCGGGGCAAGCAGAGCGAGGCGCTGCGCGCGCCGGCGCTCAGCAGATAGTCCCCGGGCCCCGCCCCCCACTGGGGTGCCGCCTCCATTTCGCTCCTCAGCGCTCCCCCCACCCCTCCCGCAGCCCGGCCCGGCCCCAGCCCCGGCGCGCGCCCCACCTGCGCAAAATGGCGCCGCCCCAGCGAGCCCCGCACAGGCCACTCCCCTGGGCCCCGAGCAGCGGAAAAGCGACGGCGGCCCGGCACCTACCGCCTCCATAGCGCCCGTAGCGAGACATCGTCCCGGCTCCGGCTGCAGCTCCGCACCAGGCCGTTCGCGCGCATGCGCCGGGAGCCCCTGAGAGAGCGACTGCGCATGCGCACGGCACGCTCCTCTCTCCCCCGTTTGTGCGCGCCGGCTGAGGCAAAGCGGGAAGTGGAACCGGACTCCTTGTTGTTCTTGGTTTCTATAGTAACGCGCCGTAGTGCAGTCCGGCCTGTGCTCCAGGGCGGCGGCGCGCGAGCGCCCGGAACTTCCGGCCTGGGGTGTCACGTGCCGCTCAGCAAGGGTGGGGGCCGGGCCCTAGTGCAGCGGGGGAGTTGTGGGGCGGGGCCTATAGCCCCAGAGGGGCGGGGCCCAGGAAGGAGGCGGGGCCTATAGCCTCTAGTGCAGCGAGGGGGGGGGGACTTGTGGGGCAACTGATTTCTGTTCTGCTTCATGCTTTTAAACTATTGATTCCCCAATGGGCTGTTGATGCTGGACACTGGTGCTGAGATCAATCCCACACTGATGATACCGGTTTATGGGAGATCAATGCCCTAGTTTGAGCTTGTGTCTCTGACCAATAAAAGCTATTACCTCGCCCACCTCATCGCTATAACATGTTGATGATGTGATTTGTCTCAAGGGGGGGAGGGGGCAGTATCTTGGGAACCCTTGCTCAAATGACTTCAGATTTGGGCCACTCATACTTGAGGTACTTACCAAGGCAATGTGACTCCGCATGTGGATTTTAGAGCATTCAGGAAAAAGTAGCTGTTAAACAGTGAGCTAGTCTCATCCCAAACTGTTCCGCCCCACTGTAACACAGGACCACATTTCGGCCCAGATCATGCAGACACTTATGCACGTGCCTAATTTTGCTACTGTGAGTAGCCCTACGGGATTACTCATGGCAGTAAAGTTAAGCATGTGCATGTTTGCAGGACCTTGTCTGGGAAGTGACAGTCCTAACAATACCAAAAACAGGAGTGTCGAGTGTGCATGGGGGCCGGGGAAGCAGGGGCACAATCCCCCGCCCCCCCAGTCAGCAAGGGCACAGATTGAACTCCTCTGGGGCAGGAGATGGGACTGCGGACAGGGGCGGAAGATGACAGCGGTGAGAAGAAGGAGGGAGAGCTGGAGACACAGCTCCTCCAGCCATGGGGAGTACAGAAAGTACCCCTCTAAAAGCGGCCAAATTTTTTATTCCTGTGTACACTGCTGGAAACTCATATCTTATTCAAACACATAGAAATTGAGAGAATAATGATTGACTTCCCATCAAAAGTTAAGTACCATATTCAGTATTGCTACTCTCATAATATTTGAGGTTTTCCTTAAATACACAGCTCCTGGAGGCAAGTGATTAGGGAAGAATCTCTGCTTTTTACTTTTTTTTTTTAAAGTGTTCCTCTAGCTCTCATAGTTACAGAGAACAGTTTGTAAATGTGACCCATATGCCGAATGCAAACAATAATACCACCTAGCTCTTATATAGCCCTTTTCATGAATAGATCTCAATAAAATCTCAATATTTTTATCTCACTAAAAATAGCCTAACTTAAAAAAAAAAAACCTCATGATTATTAATCCAAACTAATGCTTTATCTGGCCTTGACTTGTGATTTGTTAATGTTCTGGGTTGGCAACACTGTCTACACCAGGGGTCGGCAACCTTTCAGAAGTAGTGTGCCGAGTCTTCATTTATTCACTCTGATTTAAGGTTTCGCGTGCCAGTAATACATTTTAACGTTTTTAGAAGGTCTCTTTCTATAAGTCTATAATATAGAACTAAACTGTTGTTGTATGTAAAGTAAATAAGGTTTTTAAAATGTTTAAGAAGCTTCATTTAAAATTAAATTAAAATGCAGAGCCCCCGGACCGGTGGCCAGGACCCAGGCAGTGTGAGTGCCACTGAAAATCAGCTCGCGTGCCGCCTGTGGCACACGTGCCATAGGTTGCCTATCACTGGTCTACACCTAAAAATACTGCGTTTTCTTTAAATCTCATGGAAATTGGAAATAAAAAGCATAATGATTTAAATATATTTCATGCAGTCCCCTCGTTTATTGGTAATATACATCCAATCCATTTTGTAAAACATCCCAAATACACGCATGTTTTTGTGAGATAAGGTTTTGTAGTCAAACGTTGCTTCCAAGCTATTGAAACCGAAATTTGCAGTTGAAAAACCCCCAGGGGGCTGGAATGCGTGGAGTTGTCTAGGAAGACAGATCCTGAGCACGTTACTATTTTAGTACAAATCCCTGTAATTTATTAAATTTTCAATTGCATATGAGCTAACGGAAGCACGTGAGCTACTCCAACAACGCAACACCGGTAGCAATGAGGAAAGCGATCGTACTCTCACAGGATCCCTGGAAACTACAGAACAGGGGCTTCTGGGGCCAGGAAATGAGGTCTCTGAGCAAAGCGCGCTGGGTTGCACGTTGGGCCATGTGTTTCCGGGCTCGGGGATGGTGGTGCTGCTTGTGAGTGTGAGCCAGCTCTTCGCTTCAGCACTGTTGCATGTAAGTGAAACACAAGCGTGGCTGTCTGGCTGGTTTCAAGGGGTCTTAGTACTGCAGAGTACACTGGCCTAGATTATGTTGGCTGCCTACTGCGGGAAGTGCAATTCAGTGGCAATAACGATTTGAGCAGGGGTCTCAGTCTGCTTTTTCTGTTGGCCTGTGGGGGAGAGCAGGCTCCGGGAAGCAAGCTTGGTTTGAGTGAGAATGAGTGCATGAACAGAGCAGACTAGCAAGGACACTTTGCAACCAGCAGAATGTGCAGTGCAGAGACACTAATGAATGGGCCGGGATCCTGTGAACAGTTCCACACTGGCTTAGTTTTGCACATCTGAATAGTCCTATTGTGTATAGTGTCTGCCTAAAGTTAAAAACAAGTGTCTTTGCGAGACTGAGGGCTGTAGATTGTCCCTGCCCTACAATCTACGTTTACAATCTTCCTCTGTACAGTGTCGAGCACAAACTCCGAGTGGGGCTCTGCGCTCTACATGCCGGATAATGGGCATCATTAAGAAAGGGATAGATAATAAGACAGAAAATATCATATTGCCTCTATATAAATCCATGGTACGCTCACACCTTGACTACTACGTGCAGAGGTGGTCGCCCATCTTAAAAAAGATATATTGGAAAAGGTTCAGAAAAGGGCAACAAAAAATGATTGGGTATGGAATGGCTGCCATATGAGGAGAGATTAATAAGACTTTTCAGCTTGTAAAAGAGACAACTAACGGGGGTGGGGGGTTGATTAAAGTCTACAAAATCATGACTGGTGTGGAGAAAGTAAATAAGGAAGTGTTATGTACTTCTCATAACACAAGAACTAGGGGTCACCAAATGAAATTAATAAGTAGCAGGTTTAAAACAAACAAAAGGAAGTATTTCTTCACACAACGCACAGTCAACCTGTGGAACTCCTTGCCAGAGGATGTTGTGAAGGCCAAGACTATAACAGGGTTCAAAAAAGAACTAGATAAATTCATGGAGGATAGGTCCATCAATGGCTGTTAGCCAGGATGGGCAGGGATGGTGTCCCTAGCCTCTGTTTGCCAGAAGCTGGGAATGGGCGACAGGAGATGGATCACTCGATAATTGTTCTGTTCATTCCCTCTGGGGCACCTGGCATTGGCCACTGTCGGAAGACAGGACACTGGGCTAGATGGATATTTGGTCTGACCCAATATAGCCGTTCTAATAGAGCACAGGTTCAGACAAGCAGAGGGTGAACTGCAGGTTCCATGATCCATGCAGAGGGGTCTAGGAAGTGAAGGACTCTCCCTGCCTGCTGGTGCTTTCCTCCCCCCAAATACAGTGGACAGGAAGTGGAAGAGACTCCCAGTGCTCCCTGCCTCTGCACAATGAAGAAATGGGCTTCCCCAGGCTCTTTGGACTCAGTCCTGTACACTCATCTCCCTCTTCCACCCTCCACTAAGCTCTGTGGAGGGGTCCTGGGAAAACGAGATGCCTTCCTGCCCCAAACTGAGAAACAGAAGCCGCTGTGCTGCTGCTACTGATCAATGTCCTTTGGCAAGGCTTGAGGAAGAGTATGTATATATCTGAGCTCCCCCCATGGCAGGGCACAAGAATGATGTCATAAGAGTGGCCATACTGGGTCAGACCAATGGTCCATCTAGCCCAGTAGTATCCTGTCTTCCAACAGTGGCCAATGCCAGGTGCTTCAGAGGGAGTGAACAGAACAGGGAATCCTCAAGTCATCCATCCACGTCATCAGCTAGCACATGAGGCTGGAAAGCAAAGGCACTGCCCACAGTAGTGAGAGTGACCGTGCACAAAGGGTGCTCAAAAGCCCGCTGTAGAGTGAAAAAATCTTTCTGCTTGTCTCAGTGACAGTGATGGTAAGAGTTACTTGGGCCAATATAGAAGGTACATAGCCATCTCAGTGGTTACATGTGACAATAGAAGGTACACATTTTTGTATGTTAGGAATATGATTTTTTTTTTTTTTAAGCTGTGTGCGCCTTTAAAAACAACAAATGAGGGAGGAAATGGAAGTGTTTTTAATTGACTTTTTCATTAAAATATGATGTAAGAAGTGACTAAGATGATTAAACAGAAAAAGGAGGCAAACTCAATGCTGGTGCAAAGGGTTGGAGTAGAGGCATCTGCTGTTGCTAATAACTACACTGATTGCTCTTTAGGTTCAGTGAGTGGGAAATATGAGTGAATGGCAGAAGAAAAGTCCTTTAGAGTGGCAGACTTATGTGAACAAAGAAGTAAAAGTCACAGCTGCTGAGAAACATGAATACAAAGGATGGGTCTTAACAATTGACCCAGTTTCTGCAAAGTAAGTACAGAGCTGTTATTTGCTTATAACAAAGAGAACGGTGATCTGATATGGAAAGACTGAATCTGAAGCAAACTTGCTTGGAGCAGAAATGGCACACTGGAATTTGGTCCATAATTCTATATCTGTGCTAATTAGCAGGGCCAAGAGGAAGGGGATGCTAGGAGTCATAAGGATTGTTCATATGATTTCAAATGGTCATCTAATTTGAGAGACTAATAGTTTTGGGGAACAGATGGAACCCAGGAGCTTGGTTGCTCTTCATTCATGCCAATTTTGCTGTGCATTTTAAGCACTCTTAAAACATCATCACTGCTTCTGTGTAGTGCTGTGTTTTAAATCTAGAATGCATTTGGCCTTTGTCAGATCCAAGAGAAAGCCAAGGGGAAATATTCAGGGGAGCTTAACATCTTAAAAATACCAATCTATTTTCCTGTTA